AAGAAGAGCAGAGAGAGAGATACCTAAGCAACAGGCACTGGCAGACGGGTGGGCGGCGTTTTGCGGCGACTTAAGTTGTGGCTTGGTCGGTGCTCGGGCGAGATCCGTGAGAGGGGAGAGAGAGGAGAGGGGTGTGTGTGATTCGGGTGCACGAGGCGGGTGGGTGGATTAACGGAGATTGGGTGAGATGGAGGAGAAAGGGGGGGGGGGGAGGGGGGGGGATACCTGAGCGGTGGTTGTCTGGCTGTGGTGGATCGTTGGCAACGTTGAAGGTTTGGATGTTGCGTGAGGGATTTTAGGGGAACCCGGAGGTAGAGATGGGGAAGGGAAGAGTAAAGTAAGTAAGAGAAGGAAGAAGAGGAGGAGAGAGAGTGGATTTTTTTTTTTTATAATAAACAGCTATGCAGAAATAACGTTTAGGAAAACGATGAATTATAATCCGACGATAAAAATGTCATCAACTCGAGAGGTGACAGCGCACACAACTAAATGGAATTGAGTTAGACGAAGTCTTAACTGCAACCCAATGAATTGCTCAATTAAAAGCTCTTGACTTACGTAAAAAACGTAAATTAAGAACATTTGTAAAGTGTCTAATATCACTAATCACCCATGGAAGAATATCTTCAGTCGAACTTAGCTTAATGACCTCCAAATTATCACTTATAATGGTTGTTTTATGAAGCTCTAAGACTGAAGCCAAAAGGAGGCATGCTTCTCTAACTGCAACTACTTCAAAAAACTTGCTAGAAATCGTAGGAATTTTTCTAAAAATACCTTCCGGCAAAGCCAAATTTGATCCTCTCAAGAGCACTGTAATAGCACCGTGACTTTTCTTAAAAGCTCCATCATATCTCAACAAAAAAGAATAAAATTGGCCTGAGTTTAGAACTTGATGATGAATCATTGAATCCTGGTGACTTTCTTGCCTACCCTTATCAGTCAAAACCGTCTCACTCCACAAATTCTAAAATCTCATCAAAGTGGCAAAAGCATTCGGAGCTTCTTGCCGAAAAGCAAAATGGTTTCTGAAATTCCAAATAGCCCAAGCAATGATTGCAAACTTCCCCATAATCACAAGCAAAAGAGGAATATCTTTGGGAACATCCAACAAAGACGAGGCCCACTGAAGAACATAAATAGATGAACACAGCTGTATTTGCAGCCCTAAATCTAATCCAAACCATACCTTCTTCATCCATTCGCATACGAAGAGGAAATACTCAACAGACTCAACTTTATCACTGCAAAAAAGACCCCAAGGGGAATCAGCACATTTTCTCTTATATAAATTTTCCCTCAAAACCAAAGCATTATTGCAAACCCTCCACCAAAAATGTTTAATCTTCGGGAGTGTTTTCATATGCTAGACAACATACCAAAACTTCGAATGAGGAGAAAATAAGAACTTGGAGCCAGATTATTTAGAGAATTGAGGTTGGCAACAAGAGAATAACCTGATTTAACCGAGTAAACACCATGGGGATTCAGTCTCCAGATTCTTCAATCCACACTTGGGACCTTTGGGATAGGGGTGGCTAGTATAGACTTACATTCCTGTTCATTGAAAAGTTCCCTTAACAGCCCAGCATTTCATTCCCTGGATTGTTGAGAAATCAACTGATTAACCCAGATAATATTACAGTCATGGGGCTTAGGAGACAAAACTGAAACGTCATCAAAGTGGGGGATCCACTTGTCCTCCCAAATGCTAACCTCATTGCCTTCCACAATGTGCCAAAACAGGTCTTTATCTAATAGATCCTTTCCCTGTAAGAGGTTATTCCAAACCCAAGATGGTCTTGCTCCCTTCTTAGCCTTCATAAAGTCTCCGTCTGGAAAATAAATGGACTTAAGAAATTTTGTCCAAAAAGAATCCGGATTCTAAAGAAGTCTCTAACATTGTTTTGCAAGTAAAGCCCGATTCAAGAGATAAAAATCTTTAAAGTCCATCCCCCCCCTCGTGCTTTTGCTTCAACAATCAAATCTCATCGCTTCCAATTGATTCCTATATTCTCTCCTCCTCCTCCCCACCAAAAGTTTTGAACATACTGATTGATCTTATTACAAAAATTATTGGGGAATGTAAGGATAGACATAGCATAATCGAGAATCGCTTGGATGACTGCCTTTATCAACATTTCCTTACCAGCCCGTGTGAGAAAAATACTTTTACACCCTTTAAACTTCTTTAAAATCCTCTCCAAAAGAAAACGAAAAATCGCACTCTTTGCATTACCACAAAAAATAGGCAAAACCAAATATTTAATACCTTGATCCATAGGTTGCAATCCCAACAAATAACCAAACTGATACTTGTGTTCTTCCGTTGCATTTGCATAACAAAGGAAACCTGATTTTTGATGACTTAAACATTGTCCAGACGCTAAGCAACATTTATTCAGAATGTTCGTAACGTTAATAATCCCTTGTTCCTTTGCTTTAATGAAAAAAAAAGAATCATCCGCAAAGAACATGTGTGAAATAGCTGGACTTCCTCTGCGGACTTTAATACCTGAGAAGCTTCTCTCTTCCACTCTTTTTTGCAACATAAAAGACAAGACATTAGCAACAATGATAAAAAGTAAGGAGATACAGGGTCACCTTGTCGAATACCTCGCTGTGGATGGACAACACACCTCTTTTCCCCATTAATGATCATCTGAAAACTAACTGTGCTAACACACTGAATAATAAGCTGCACCACCGCTGATTAAAGCCCAGTTTAAGCATCACAGCCTTTAAGAAGTCACATTCAATGAAATCATAAGCCTTGAGAACAAATAATAATAATAATTACAAAATAGGATTTATTTGAAATTTAGTGCACTCATAGCAAATTCTAATAAGCATTATTTTGTTTGATTCTATGCATTCATAAATATTTGATGGCTTTAAATAGTGTTTGATCGTTTTTCCTATTCTCCAAACACGAATCTGGATTGTGTGTATATGACTTATACGAGTTTGGTGAGTGTCACTCTTCCTCGGGTTCAATGCAAGAAGTGGGGAAATTATGTGTGGATTAACAAAAATACGTGTGTTCAAAAGTGCTTCACAAGCATAGAAAGACTTGCAATGTCATGTTTTACTTGAAATGGGTATCCCAAGGTCCTCTCCTCAGCGAATGAAAGGTCAGATGCTTTTGAAGGGTGATTTGTGAAAAAAAGAAGATTGAAAAATCTTGTGAATTGTGTTTTGAGAAAAATTCAAGTAAAAAGAGGGTTGACTAATTCATAGAGTTTATTCCAATGAGTATGCCAAATCGACTCATTTTGTAGGAAGTGAGGAACTAGTATGGTTGTGTTGGGCAAAAGCATATTCCGTGACAATTCTATGGTGTATCAAGAGCCCACAACCACGTTCACACTCAACCTAGTCAAATCAAACACTTTACACTATAAAGAATAACGAAAGAGAGTCGATTTTACATACCTAAGAGGAAATTTCTCTTGGATTAACCAACTAAAAGTCTAGCTACTCATAATAAAGGCAAGAACAAACATAATGTAAAGAGACATAGTAGTGAAATGAAGCATGACACTTGTATTGATGCAAGAAAATGTTTAAACTACAAGAGTAAAGTCATTCATACCCAAATACAAAGCTTGAAGAGAAAAATACCTAAATGTAGAAAATGGAAATGCTAGAACACTTAGTTAAGCTTGATTACAACTTGAATAAAAGAGTTTAGAGTGAAAGAGGGAAATATTACAAGAAAAATAAAGCTTACTATAATGAAAATGGTGAAAAAAATGTAAAAACCCAACTTTTTTTATTTAAAACTTCATCTTTTATCTTGAAACTTCTTTTTGTAAAAGCATGTCAAAACTGAATAATGGTGTAAGACCCTGAATTTCATCCATCCTTTCTCTCTCAGCATGTGTGAACTAACTTTCAATGAGTGGGGATAGGTTGGACATTTGAACAATCAAAAACAAGCCAAGCATGCTCCTCCTATGCTTTCCTAACCACCCCTCTTCTCTCTCTGCTTATCCCCTATCTCTCACTTGAAATCTGGCTTTAGGGGTTAGGAGGGCATCATGGGGTGTCAACTGTGTCAGGGGTATGGTTCGGATGACAAGAGGTGGGTCCCCGAAGTAGGTGGAGTCGTGTGAGTAGGTGATGACAAATCTGACAAAACCCACCAGTAGAACGTAAGAAAACCTACCGGTATATTTTTTCCAATAAGATTTTTTACCGGTAGGTTGGCTAAGGTAAAAGAATTTCAGTAGCATTTTCTACTGGTAGGTTTTGGTTGACTTACACTGGTAGGTTTTTGTCCTGTTTTGTGATTTTATTGGTTTCTTTAGACCCCAAATACCCAATACCCAAACCCACAATTACCGTCATCGCCACCGCCAACTCTCTTCTCTTATTTTATCACAGCATTGCCAGTGCTAGAACTACCACCACAATATTGCCACACCAGAGCCATAACCCAGAACCACCAGCACAACACCGTCATACTAGAGCCACAACCCAGAACCACCACCACAATGTCACACCAAAGTCACAATTCAAAACCACCACCACACCAGAGCCACATAAGCCACCGCCAACACCACTTCTACCAACACCAACACCAACACCATCACCCATTACAAGCATAATTTTCCTCCCTTATCTCTACTACACCCAAACCCAGAACCCAAATCCGAAATCCCCTTAAATCTAATAATTCACCAACCCTAATTATTTGTCAAACATTTCCTTTCACCACCGTTTACCTTGCCACCACCCTTTCACAGGTTGGTTGGTTTGGATTTTAGGATATACATTAGGTTTTTTTTTTTTTTTTTCTATTTTTTTATCAAAGGGTATAATAGATATTTTGTAACTTCTCCTTGTAATTTTTCAAACATGAGAGGGTCTGTCTGTTTAAGTGACAAATATCATAGGGGTTGAATGTAATTTACCCTAATTTTTATGAAAAAACAGAAAACATTCTAATTTTGTCCCGCGCATAAATTCTGATCTCTTCCATTTGGACATTTCAGCCGCGATTTGTCGTGGATTATGGGGGTGCATCCGACGTGTGGCTGCGTTCGTGTTAGGCCCCTGCCCAACTCGTTGTACAGTTCCTTGACTCCTCGTCACTTCTCTGCATCTTTCGGCAACAAGAAATCATCGTCACGATCGTCGTCCTTATCTTACTCGTTCTTTTGCATCTCCGGTAAGTTCGAATTTCATGGGTTTTGCAAGTTTTGTTATATTCCTTTTTCAAATTCCAGGGTTGGGGGGGCTAGACGGTCTGGTGACCTTCCTGCTATTAGACGGTCCAACGAGTTTGCCGTTCACAATGAAGACGATGACAGCAGTGAATTACAAGAACAACGACGGCAAAAGGCACACGGCGAATTTGGAGATGATGATCGGGGGAGAGGAGTGACCGTTGTGATAGAGGAAGCTATACCCCAAGGCAGCACGGCAATAATCTTTGCCTGCTTTGTTGGTCTCTTCACTGGCATAAGTGTTGTGCTGTTCAATATTGCGGTGTGTTTCACATTCTTTGAATCTTTCGTGCAAAATGGAACTTATAATAGAGTATTATAGTAATAAATAATAATATATGAATGACAATAGTATGAGTGGTCAATTGACTTTGATTTCATGTGGTCCTAGCTTCCTAGAGGCAAATCATGAAAAATATTGTAGGAAATTCCCCGTAATTGTGCAACTTTTCATGTAAAATCTTATACAATCTGTTCATATGTAAAATCCGAGGGTGAGCTTCATTTCCCTAATGTCCCCCTCCCTTTAAAAGGAAGGAAAAATTAGGGCTGCGAAAAAACAGCGTGACAGGAAATAAAACTAACATAAAACTGCACTTAATCTTAAAATTATTTGTCCCCTGCATCCTCTTTGTTAGATTCATTCCCTCTGTCATCTGTTTGGTTGTCATTCGATTTGATTTTACTTTGGAAGGCCACGTGATGGGTGTTAGATGACAGCTTGGAGTTACAATATGGTGAATTTGAGGTTGAGTGGTCGGCATATTTTGTCCCAAGCTGGTGAAGGGCCTTCTAAGTAGACTCCGAATCTTCTTCTTTCTGTAACACCTCTAAAGATGCTCGAAGATCATCATCCTTGCGACAGCTGACTTTGCTTTGTAAGACTTGCTGATTGTAAGTTATCATTTTCTTTATTTCTCCACACCCCTTGGTATTGCTTGGGGTTGGACTTCATCTCGATCTTTTCCTTGTTTTGCATGATCTGCCTTCTTGATTTATTGGGCTGCACTTGAAGCCATGGGCCAAAGTTCCTCTTGTAATTGTTTTGCAATCCATGAAATTTCCCGCATTGCTGTTGTGTCTCTTGTTGAGAGTTTGTGGAAACAACTTATGGTTGTACTGCAAGCTTCACTGTTATGACCAGGATAGCCACACGTGAAGCATATCCTCTTAAGACCTTCATACATAATCAGATGTTTATGTTTACATATGAAAATATGTGAGACCAAAGGTTTTGAGGTATTGATTTGAACACACAATCTTGCAAATCTCCCACGAGATATGTCCTCAGTTTGATCATCAATCCTAATTAGCCTTCCAATCCCGAGTCCAGTTTTCTTAAGGGCAAGAGAGTAGTAAAACTCAATTGGTAATCCACGCAGACAAACCCATAGCATCATAGTATTGGCCGCTTCAACTGATGGTTGGAATTGTGGCTCCCATTGTCTGATACCAATGAATTGTTGTCCAAGGAACCACGGGCCTTCACTAAAAACCCTCACAGTGTCTTTTTCAGACTTGAAGTGAGCAACATAATAGCCTTCTCATAGCACTATACATTCCATTTTTTCCTTGGGTTTCCATAATGCATCCAATTTTCCAATCAGGTATCGATAATTATATGTTCACCCATAGATTTAAAAAATATATCATATGTCTAATGGCGGCTGATTCGAGCTTCATTCTATTTGGACAAGTGGATTCTTGGGCTGCGAGACTCTTCCTCAAGTTCTCCTTCCAACTTAGACACATCATTTTTTAATGAGGTGGCATGGATTTCTTCGGTGACTTTATGGGGCCAAAGAATTCTTGAAAGAAACAGAGAGGCATTTGTTGTGGGGGATATAAGGTAAGTTAGGTGTTTTCAGGTGGTTGGTGAAGATGGTTGATGGGTTTGTGTGTTGGTTGTGAAGGTTTTGGTGTAGGATTGAGGCATCGGTTTTGGAAGGGAGTGAGAGATGATTGAGATTTTGGTATAAAGCATTTTTGGTAGGCTGAATAGGTTTTGGTAAAGGGTTGAGATTTGGGTATAGGAGTGGCTTGTTTGTTTGGTCTTGTAGTTTGTGGTTCACCAATGGCCAGGACTAAGAGGCTTTCAATATAAGCTCATGAGAGTTTTTATCAAACACGTGGTGTGTTCAAATAAGGTAGTGCAAGAGGTTAAATTGAGGAGAATTAAAATGGTAGTATTCGTTTTTAGGGGTGTAATTATAGATGGGGGTGGTGAAATTGTTGGTGGTTTTAGTGAAGAATTGGAAACTATGTTGGCAGGAAGGGTTTGTTATGAAGATGGAGATGTGAGGGGGAAATGGGTTGTTCTAGCATAAGGATAGAGGTGAAGGCACTGGAAAAGACAAGCATGTTTCTCAAAGTTATCTCCACCGGGGGGAAGGGAAGAACTCTACTGGTGAGAGCTGAATTGTGTGGCGCACTTTTCGAAAGCATTGCAATACTGGCAGGTAGCAGGTTTTTTTGGTTTGTTAACATGTCGCACCATACACACGTCATGCATGTTTCTACACAAAACCCAGAAAACTGATGCTATATAGACTAATCCAACCCAAATCGCAAAAATCATTTTTCTTTCCCCCTCCTCCCTCCCTTCTGCCCAATCACACCAGTAACCATCCTCGTTATATCCATACTCACCACGTTCGAGATCTCTACCTCTTTTGTTATGTTGATATTGTTGTTTGGTCATCTTCCTCTTCATGTTCTTCCATCTGAGGTTAACTCTTTTCATGGTTTGTTATTGGTGGCTTTCTTTTTGTTTTTGGTGACTCTTGTTTTGGCGGTGGGGCAGTGGGTGTTGGGTGGGTAGTTATACATGTGTGTGTATGTGTTAGTGTTTGGTGGGAGGCTTATTTGGGTGGTGGTTTCAAGGTGGAATTTAGTGGGCAAAAAGGAAGGCGGTGGTCCAGAAGGAAAATGCAAAGAAAAGTAGTGGGACATGGGTTGGATTTTGGTTACTTTGGCAATGTGTTTGATAACTGTTATGGCATGCATGTGGCATGTAATGTCAGTACCGATTGAAAATTCAAAGTGTTTGGCAATTGGAGGACATTACAAAAAAAATAAAAAGCACTATTGTGACCTTGTGAGGACAAAGTGCAACTGATTAAATTTTTTTAAGGGCAAATTTTCATTTGCACCACTTAAAAGATCAGGGACCCAAGAATTATATACACTCCTAAGAATGTGACGTATCTGTATGGTACATGTTAAGATATACTTTTCGAACTAGCGTCATATACTTTTTTAACCTTATTAATAAAAAAATAAAATTTTAATTTTGGACACGTAATCGGCAAGTCTAGGATAGCTTCAAATTTGGACAAACTAGTGATGCTAAAGTCATACTTTAAATTTTCTAATAAAAGCTAGTGATGAATAAAAGTTTTACTACAGAGGAGGACTTGAGAAAATGAGCGCTATCATTATAATTCTACATGTTTAGCACACATAGCCTATAGAAAAAGGATGATTATTGACTACTATGATCCATTAGTCTAAAACATAAGAGTTGTTATCATAATATATGGATTTTCTTGCATTTAAAATACTTTAACTAAGTCAATCTATAATTTATAATACATTAGCGTGTTCTGACGTGCTCGTGTCTTATTTTTGTCCTTTGTACATATCGGTGCTTGTGAGTCATTGATCCAATTGTGCACAACTTCCACCTAATAAAGATAGTAGTCACCGAATGAAGATCATCTCTACAATTATTCTTAGCCTTTCTTTCAAATTTGATATTTTTTTCCTATTTATAAATTAGCAAAAGCAAAAGAGAACAAGATACGACGCTCATCAAGTTTATCAACTCTTCATGTATTTAACGAACCTTTTTTCAGTGATAGTTTTGCTAGGATGTAGAGGAAGTCAGTAACTTACTAAGAAAAATGTGAAAAAGAAGTATGGTTGAGTGACATACATTGGTGCTCACAATGGGGGAAGAGTGGGGTTTGTTTGGTCTATTGTCACTCCAAGTCTTGGGAAAATTTACTATACTCGTGATAGAAAATAATCTCCTCTGTTAGATCGTATTTGTAATTGGTTAATTTTGCGGAATTCATTGTAAATCTCAAAATTTTTCATGGTCATGATACTATCAACTTTAAGAAAGCACCATTGAAAGGATGAGATCAATCGTCAAAGCAACATCATTCAATCACCGTATTCACCATCATACATAGGACAAGGTAATGACCTAGACACTTACGATGAACCTTTAGTTATTTTTAACTTACGTTGATTGGGATGAAAATAGAATTAGAAATAATTCTATTATGACTCTTAGATGATTTTAGAAGAAAAGATTTTCTAAACTATTTATGAGTTTTAAAAATATAGTTTGAGTCACAATTGGAACTCTCATTGACCAACACCCTTTAATACTTTGTATGTTTTTATGCTTAAAATTTTTTAGCGGCCAATTTATGCTTGCTAACTTTCGCAAGAGCGGTCTCTTTATAACATGGAAAATGAAATGGGAAAAGGTCAGGGAAGTAGGGATGTCATTGGACTGAAGCGGGGGCGGGGGTTGTAGTCTCCATTCCCGTACTCGCTTAAAAAAACTTCATCATCCCAAGTCTACCCTGGTTAACGGATATAGTTTTCATCCCCTATTCCCGTCTGTGGGTAAATTTTTAATCTCCGTCGCTGTCCCCGTTGCCGTCCCTGATTCCCTTCTACCCGCCCAAGCCCAAGGTCTTTATGGAATAATCAATTAAGTAGAAACCAAACTATAATAAAACAAATCTACACTCATTATGGAATAAATTGGACTAATCTCCATGCCCTTAACGAGGGTCACTCAAGAAACAACATGATCAAGTGCTATGTTACACAATAATTATGAAAATAGCATGATCACATGGGCGACATTTAATTTATGACTGATCGATATGCATATTTAACATCATATCACTATCAAATAATCTTATAATGCACTTCTAACTATAATGATGAAATGACCCATCCAATGGAATTCTACATCCAAACAGGTTAAGGGTATACCAGTTATATGTGATTAGCGAAACAAGAAAAAGATGATACACAGATCAATAATCTATTTACTTCTTTGTCCAATCTAGTTAAAGGTAGAAAGACATTCAAGCAATTATGACTCTATATCGCATATTATCTATGAAATACACAAAAAATAACAATAATGTGCTAAATGATAAACATACTAACACATCACATGTCGAAATAACGACGTCAAACAGAATCATATAATTTGTATTTTTATAGAAAAAATTTAAATTTTAAATGAAATTTCCTCCACTAACCTAATCCCTATAAAGCATTTTTTGCAATTAGAAGTTTTAAACACTAAAATTTGACTTTAGTCTAGAAATATAAAATAATAAACAATTAGTTCTGAAAGAAGTGCACTAATTAGCAAGATATATATAAAGATTGAAGGGGATCTTTTGAGAAGGTAGAAGAAGAGATTCTGATTTGTGTTCCTTCCTAGATGTAGTAGGAACAAGAAAAACAAGATAGGCAAAAATGATTTATCGATGATGTGTCCGTGCTCGTGTATGGAGGGAGAGACGATGGAAAAAGAAAGACAGAGGGATGGAGGCGGCTGATAGAGGAAGAGGAGAGTAAGTTAGGGCTTTAACTGGGAGTATATATATATATTTAACGGGTATAACAAAGATGGGGCCGGGCGGGGCGGGGGTAAGGGTAAGTCCATCCCCGCTTTCATCTTCCCGATCCATTGCTATCCCTACAGGGAAGGCAACACAAGGTTTGCTCTATTACCTTGCTCAAGCGGTGCTTATAGTCGCTCGAGCATTGTTTGCCTTAGTTGGAAGTGGAACGTGTTTTTCATTCCAACGACAACTGTTTTATGATCGCCTTTTCACCAATCGAGCGTTTGTTTCGCGACTTTGAGCTTTTTTATTTATTAAGACTATTCTTATTTCGGACTTATATATAAGAAGAGTCTTTTCTAAGAGAGAAAATCATCTTTTGACCTTGAAAGTTTTCTCTAAGACTCAAAAGGCTTCCACTACAAATTCTATCCAACCTCACAACTTGGAGAAGAAGATCTTGATGGTTTGATAAACCCATTAGTGTGTGCATACTGAGGATCGTTGGTATGCCCATGGTTGCTCAAGGCCTAAAGATCCGTGTAGTGGTGAAGTCCAAGTGAAGCGACACTAGATATTGGAGAAGGTCCTTCGATGAAGAGACAATAAGAAAATAAGCATTTAACCATGGTATTGGTTGAGATATAAGTCTCGAATATTTGTATATTAACTTAGAGAGTAGTGTATTAGACTTTGGTAAATTGAGAAGGTTCCTCGCAGTTTTTTTCGATGAGGGTTTTTGTGTTAACAAATCACTTATTTTTTTTTAAATAGTTTATTCGTATACATTTGTGATTGTTTGAACACATGTGCGCTATGTTTGAAATTTGATTGATTGATATCTATTCATCTGTGCAAGTTTGGAGTTTTGAGATCGACATGAGATTGATTACGAACGAATTAATTAAAGATTAATTTAATCAATCGTCATGTGCAAAATGGGTTATGGTGTGTAAAGAGGTTCTCACCATAGTTGTTATTATCGTACGATATGCGATGCGATACATAACATGAAAAAAATAATTATGTATCGCTTAAGTTTATCGGTTTGTACTGTATCGTGCAATACATGATACGATTCGATATACTCGATACAAGACAATACATATGAGTTGTCTAATAAAGAGCGAAACATATCAAAAATTTTTTTATTTGAATTTTAATTAGAAAATCACTCATTTTCACTTGGAAGTAATTTTTTCAAACACTAGGTAATGAACAACGTCATTTCACTATCTATAATTTAAAAAAATAAAAGTCTTTTTTTTTATTCGTTCAATGGTAGGAGTAAATAGTTTAATTGTTAAAAGTGTCATCCTCTGCTACTTTAGATGTTAGAACTAGAACTCTCTAAATTTTGATATTGATAAATTATGTTAGAAATTTCAAAACTTAGATTGTTAATTTTTTATTTTGGTTCTTGTAATCTCTTTAAATTTTTTTATGTAAGAAATTTATGGTGAAATAAAATGTTATTATGACATTTTTTCATAGGTATATGTATATTTAGTATCTTTTATAAAACTGCAAGTATCTTAGGATACACGATACGTTACGATAGCAGTACACTATTTTTGAAAAACGATATGCCTTCCGATACATGTTTTGACTTTGGTTCTCACATTAATTGCTAACTCTTTTTGGGAAGTGGTAATTGTGGTGAGTTAGGTTTTAATTGGTAATCAATTGAGCGTAAAATTGAAAAACCTATTCACCCCCAAGGTATAGTTTCTTGAGCTTCACATGTGCAATTGTGAGAGAAATTCCACTACGTGTTCCCCCACCTGTAACATCATCCTTGCAGATTATGTCAGTTTCACAAGGTCAAGAAGTATGGATCCCGGGTTTACTGGGGATCTATAGGATGAGGTGCTACAGCCCTTCTTTATATTTGCAAAGGGGAACTTTGTGGGGAACTCTTTCTGTATGGTGCCTGGGAGGGGGATTTTTAGTTTTTTTTTTTGTAAGACTATTCAGCAGACTACTGAAAAAAATAGCTGATCAAATTTCTTTCTTCCATTGGACATTAGCAATTGAGATCTTGATAGCTGGCAATTTGGTAGAAAGGGCAATTTTTATCACTAGCTAGTGTTGTATGAGCCAAGGTACTGATAACATAGTCAAATCATCTGTTGTTGCAGGGACTGTGGCTCTTCTTTCCTCCTTCATTTCTCCTTGGATCCTGCCTTGGTCAATTCTGGTTGTATTGGTAACAGGAATGGATGCAGACCCAAAAGGACGACTAAAGGGCATTGCATATTTTGTTTAAGTGTATCAATCGGTATTCATGTTTGTGGGTAATGGTGCATGAGTGGAGCCAATTTTTTAATTTGAAACATAAGCCACTAAGTTCGCTTTATAGTTGCCTTTCATATTTTAGTATGGAAAGATCTTCTATATTGACAGATTTTTTTACTAGTTTCTTGTTTTCTACCAAAAATATAGATCTTAACAACCTCAATTTGCTTAAAAGCTTTTTCCCTACACGTATTCTCTTCGTTGCTTTGCTCTATCTGGTGCCGTATCATCTATTGTACCACAGGGTATTTCATCTATTTTATGATTTCAATTTGCTTTCAATTCTGGCATTTTTCTTCGCTTAGCATAAGCACTAATGATGATTAGGTCTCCTTTTGCCCCTCCAACATGTGTCTTCTTTTCTTCATGTCAATATATGTGTCGAAACTCCTTTTTTCCCCCAAAACTCATTATGTAGTTTGAAAAATCTACACCCACATATTTGCTGTATTCTTGATTTCTGTTTTATTATTAACTCGTAACATCTCATTGTATAACTCATAATTCAAGTAACCCTTGCTCTTGATAATGTCCAATCTCAATCCCAGATAAATGATATCTTGTGCAAACCATGCATAGTGTCGTATTTCAGTATTATTGATCTAGCTGTTACCACTGGTGTTGCTTTAACTCAAAAACTTTTCCTATTATAATAAATATTAATAATTGAATTCTATCTAATTCAAAAGTCAGATAATAGCAACTGAGGGACATGAAACAGTTATGACACTTCTCTTTGGCTGAAGATGAGGCTTTTTGGCAGAGGTCCATTGACTTTGTTTTAGGCTTCAAAGTAGGTATGAGTTTTCTGCTTGGGCCATGGTAAATTCTGATTTCAAGGGAATGGGTCCATTACCATAGTTTTGCTACCAAGGGAACTTTTATCTTGATTGATGTGCAGTAAACTACTGTTATTTTCTCGTGCTTAGCTTTTCCAGCTTTATGTGTTGTTTTAGTGTAAAAGCTGCAAGCAAAGTACTTCTTGTCAGGGTTGGGTTTGTTGCCAACGTTTTTCTAAAGAAAATCCATTTTCTTGTATTGAATTTTATATTATTCTTGATTTTAGTCTTTGGCACCATGATGCTCCCTAATTGAATTTGGTGTTGACCTTTTTTTTAGAGTGAATACCTGATACCTACTTTTGTCCTTATAACTGATCTCAATTATTTTTTAGGTGCATGAAATACGTGACCTTTGCTGGTATGGGATTCCATATCGAGGTGCTTCATGGTTAAGAGAGGAGCCCATGGAAAAAATATGGGAGCGCGTAATCTTAGTACCAGCATGTGGTGGTTTGATTGTTGGCATGTTGAACATGCTTCGAGGCACTCTAGAGGTCCCTACAGAAGGTATTTTGATATCTCGAATAAAAGCTGCACTGGAACCAATTTTGAAAACTGTGGCTGCTTGTGTCACCCTTGGTACGGGGAATTCATTGGGGCCGGAAGGACCAAGTGTCGAGATAGGTGCATCTATAGCTAAAGTAGTGGGTATTTTGTTTGATAGAGGTTCTCATAGAAGGCTTTCTCTTCGGGCTGCCGGGTCAGCTGCTGGAATCTCTTCTGGTTGGTGCTCTTAGTTGTTGTGATTTGTGGCAATCGTCATTTTGCATGCATTCATATGGTCCTTTCTTGACTGAATGATCTACTCTGATTTTTGGATTGTAGAAGTCCTCCTATGATGCCCAGTTTGATGTGTGATAACACAGTGGAAGTGTTGGAAGTTTTTAGACTTGATTTTGGATGTCATGTACTCCTTCATATTCGATGAAAAAAATTAGCGTTTGTCCTCTTTTATTTCAAATTCTACCGTTGCTTCTGTATTTTAAGGCAAATATAATCAACCCATTGAGAAGTAATATTCTCTTGTTATTTGTCCTTTATTTTGTCTGAAGTGTGATTGTTATGTTTATGCCTTACAGGGTTCAATGCTGCTGTGGCTGGTTGCTTTTTTGCTGTAGAGTCAGTTTTATGGCCATCACCAACAGAATCATCCTTGTCACAGACAAATACAACTTCAATGGTCATACTCAGTGCTGTAATTGCTTCAGTAGTTTCAGAAATTGGTCTTGGCTCTGAACCTGCCTTTACAATCCCAAATTATGATTTTCGTTCACCAAGTGGTAAGTTTTTTATCCACTTCTTTATGTTTTCTTTATTGCATGACACACTCCCACACACTAAATTAGGGGTGATGATACCTTCATCAGACCAGGATAAGTATATCTATTAATGCATACCTTGTTCTATTTCATCACAGCAAACTGGTTATCTATTACTATCTGTTTTCTTTTACTTAAATTGCAAGGAAAGATATTAATGTCCTTTCTAAAAGACAAAAACCCACTTATGATAGTTGATACAAGCATCTCCAATGGCATGCAATTTGGTATTTCAATGCCAAAATTTGGCATAGATGGCAAAAAAGCATAGCCAGTGTGTTAAGAGTTCTTTTTTATATTAGATGTAAGTTAGCTAGTAGGGCGGATCTAGTGCACGAGACTGCCGTCATTGCAGGGCCTGGTCTGATGAAGGCATTTTTGTTCACCAAGTGCTGTTGCTGTGATTTGAACCCGTGACCTCTAGGTCATAATGGAGCAATCTTACCGTTGCGCCAACACCGGTCCTCAAGTTAACTAGTGTAGGGTAATATTGTTATTACCCTAAAATTACTCAAGTTATAAATAAGTGAGTGTAGGGAAACCTAACCTACACAACTGATTATTATTCTCATTTTTTTCCTCTCTTTTCTCCGTTCTCTTTTCTTTTTCTTTCTCAAACTTTAATATCTATTTTACAGATTCCACTTAATATCAGAGCACATCATCTCAACAAAACAAAAAAAACCTCATAACCTAAAGTTTCGGAAAAAAAAAATTATGTTCGTTGCAGACATCATCATTGACGACGATGTGATGTTGACGTCAGCCTTTCGGTATTTATGGTATTTTTGCCAATTTTTTTAGGTAGTTTGGATTGTGTTTTCTATTTTCAAATGATTTTTGAAAAACATGGCCTTGATTTTGTGATCTGAATCTTTGGACTAGTCTAAGCTATTTCGACCTCTTGTTTTGCACCTGAAAGGTGAAAGGTGAGACCAGGGCATAGGGGTCAGTTGTAATTGTCCCATGCCTTGTTGAGTTGTTTTTGTGGTTTGGAGGCTGTCGACAGTATCTTGGCTGGTTGTACTTTTCTGTTGGTTTTGTTGGTTCCAGATGTTGTGAGGCTTGGTTTCCAATTTGTTGCATTATGCAAGTGCCGATTTGAACTTGGCACATCCCTGTGTGTTGCCCAACCCTCTTAGGCTGATTTGGATGAGATTTTGTGCTCCCAGGGTACTTCGGCTACTGCTTCTAAGGCTGAACAGTGATGACACTGGTAACACCTTCTGGTTTTCTTAGAATTTTCTGGCCTCGGTGTTTCGAAGTCTATTGGTTTGTTCTATCTTCACTTGGTCCCACTGTGATTTGATTATCTCGGGCAGTTTCTTGGACTCCATTTTTGTGATTGTCGTGGTTTGGTTGTGGGTTGTAATATGACGACTTACGAGGAGGTGAATGATACGTCGGTTCGTGATCCGGTTCGATAGGTCTATTCCATGGATGATCAAGTTAGGCAAATTACTTTTGTGAAGTTAAATGGAATCAACTATTATTTTCGGTCATGCCATCAAGGTTTTTTTGCATATGCCAAACAGAAAATCAAGCATTTGAGTGAAAGAAAAGACTTCCAAAAATTGTGAAGACTAGTGGAGTGAGAATTCTTTGGGGATGACCTGCTTGTGACATAGTATGGAGCCTGGTGTAGTTTCGAATGTTTAACTTCTTGATACAACTAAGAACATTTGGACTCTCTTGAGGAGATGTACTCACAAGAACATTAATTTGTCCCGAATCTATGAATTTTTTGAACTTATGTTTAAAACCAAAATAAGGGAGTAAGTATCTCGCAGAGTATTATGGTCATAGTTTTAAAACTCGACCCGAACATCAATTTGGAGAAGGGACTAGGTCAATGGATAACTAGTTTAACCGTTGTGTCACTAGTCGAACTGGTCATATAATAAAAAAAAATAAAAAATAATTATAAATAGGCTAAAAAATCACAATAATTATGAAAATAGCATTCTTAATGTATATTAGATCAAACAAAAACCCCTAAAATCATCAAACATGTATACAATGCATTCAACTTCGAGTGAGAGATGTGCTGAGCTTGAGTACAACGAGCACAGAGAGAGAGAGAGAGAAAGATGATTTACTGACCAACCAATGAAGACCACTTGCCTCGTCAGACTTGAGGAGAAGTAGAGGCAAAGAAAAGATGGAATGAAATTTGGGCAAAAATGTCCTAGAACCTGCCTTTTATAGCATTTGAATTAAGTCTAGTTTGTTCTAAACCATCTGGTTCAGCGGGTTTGTTACAAAACCGGTCGAGTCAGCGGGTTTTGTTCGATACCATTGCTCAAACAATCTAATAGCTAAACCGGCTAGATTCACTAGGTAAACCCGCGGGGCCGTACTATTTTTAAAACACTGATTATGGTACTTTGAAAAGGTGATGGGAGAAATTTTTGTTTTATCAACCATTGAGTGCGGATGTAGAAGTACAACGACGATAACATGAAGAGTTTTAGGAGGTTCTATTTTTGTCTTGTCTTAATTTTGAATATGGTGTGTTAAAAGATTAGATTTTGGCTAGTTAAAAGCTTCCAACTACTGCAAATACTTATTCCCGTCTTTAAAGAGCATTTCTAACCCGTGGGACTCCCTCACCCTCACAAGAGTCCGTTGATTTACTCTCTAGTGACGATAATCGTGGTGGTCGTGAGCTGTTGTACATATTGAGGATTATTGTTGGGATAAACACAAAAGACCTTTTCATGCTAATTAGTTTTTGGTAATTTAATTTCTCTTGTATCTTAGCCTTCGACTGGTGGACTTGTTAACGTACATCTGGCTCTCAGCTAAGTCAACTCATCCATCCGTTGTCTTCACTCCGTTCCTATTTACCTACTTGAGCTGCTGGCTTAGCCATTGTTGGTAATTTTGCACACGTACCAGCATAATCTGTTTCACTATCTTGGATTATTGATTCAGGGGCTAGTATACTCATCTCTTGTATATCCTCATTTTTTTTTCTTCTAATTTTCATTCTTCTAATCTAACACTCGTATTGTTTTAGATGATGATTCCTTAGGTTGGTACCTGGGGCCGGTGATCTCCATTTTACCGACTTCGTGTTATTAACATTTGGTTTATTTGTCCATTAGTTTTTCGTTTAATTTGTGATTCAATTAATCAACTGGCTACTTTTTGCATCATAGCAAGAGAAAATATTTGGAAGCATACAACATACATACCTTGATGCCAAAAGGCAGCAACCAACCCAGGACAACCCCAAGGGGGACACCCACAAAGTTGTAGGAACCTACATTTATGAATGCCACCATTGCTTGCCAACCAGACCCAACTGCTACCCCTGAGAATAGCACATGCGTGAATAATTTGTGATTTTTGTTGATAATTATTTTTGTATGATTTGGTTGTTTCTTATAAAGATCGTTTTGAATTGCCTAAAATATTTCTTACCTTCTATAATGAAATTCTTGTACAATTTGATAAATGATTTAAGATATTTCGTTCTGATAATGCTTTTGAGAATGTACAATCTTTTGTGCACATAATTTGTGTTGATCATAGTATCATTCATCAGACTACATGTCTAAAGACATCCCAACAAAATAGTGTTGCAAAATGTAAATATTGTCATTTATTGGATGTTGTTCGTATCCTCATGTTTAACATGCATGTGCCTTAGTCTTATTGGGTAGACACTATTCTCACTACTGGCTATCTTATTAATCGGATTTCTTACCCCATTTTAAGTAACAAATTTTCGTTCTCCTTGTTCTATCATGATACATCGCCTTTTGGTCTATCTGATGTATTTGATTGTGTTGTATTTGTTCGTCTTCTTGGTTTGGATTAGGGTAAACTTTTACCTCGTTCGATTAACTGTCTTTCTGGATACTTTTGTACTCATAAAAGGTTATCGTTGTTATAACCATCTCTCTTTCCAATATTATGCTTGTATCGATGTCACCTTTTTTTAGTCTTCTTTTTTAATTCAAGAACTATTATTTCCCTAGATTTAATCTTTACTAGTCAAGGGGGAGCTCATATTGCCTTTTGTACCAGATGGTGTATCTTCTTTCTCTGGCTTCTGACCTTGTATTACAGGTTTAACGTCATTCTATTAATAATCTTGGTGTTTCATATACTTTAGCCCCCAACAAACATGATTCTAGTTAGGTCATTCCTCCTAATTTGTCTGATTTGCCTATGCACAGGGAAAGGTACTCGTACTTGTACCCAATACCTTATTCCTAATTTTCTTTCTTTGGCCAGTACCTTATTCCTAATTTTCTTTCTTTGCACTAGTTTTCCAATCATTTTTTTGTTTTGCATTTGTATTGTCTTATGTCTCTGGTCCTAACTCTTTGAAATTAGCATTAACATCTTCTAGATGAAAACTGACTATAGAGGAGGAAATTAAGGCACTTCATGACAATCATACTTTGGAACTCACCTTTCTTCTGTCTTGTAAGCAGCTTGTTAGTTGTTGTGGGGTGTACATTGTGAAATATCGTCCTGACGGTTCTGTTGATTGGTTGAAGGCATGGTTGGTTGCTAAAGGTTACACTCAAACATATGGTGTGAATTATTGTGAGATTTTTTCCCATGTTGCTCGTCTTAACTATATTAGAGTTCTTATTTTTGTTGCATTCTGTTTTGATTGACTTTTATATCAACTAGACATAAATAATGTATTCTTACATGGAGATCTATAGGAGAAGGTATATATGATTCAATCTCTAGGTTATGTTATTTCAGGCCACAAACAATTAGTGTGTGTCGTTTAAAGAAGACATTATATGGATTGAAATAGTTACCACGTGTTTGGTTTGATAAGTTAATACTGTGGTAATTCAGTTTTCATTCATCGATTTTTCGCATGCACTATTATTGTTATTATGTATGTCAATGACATAATCATCGATGGGAATGACTTGGATGATATTGCTAACTTCAAAGCTTATTTGAGGAAGCAATTTCATAAAAAAAGATTTAAGTATTCTTTGGTATTTCCTAAAGAGTGAGGTTCCTCAATCAAAGCAAGCTAGTAGTTTGTGCTAACTGAAGTATATTCTAAACTTACTATTTGAAACTGATACCCTTCGTGCGATGCCGATTGATATGTCTATGGACCCAACAGTTAAGTTAGATCCTGAGAGTGGTGAAGTCTTTTTTTTTTTTTTTGGTACATTGGAAATTTAATGGGGAGTAGTTTGTGTCAACACAAGAAAGGTCAACCCTAAGGTCTTGCAAAACTTGGTGAGGTGGGACAACACAAAACCATCACCCAGCTGTTCCCCCATGTTAGTGAGGATGTCAATGCAGTGATTGCCTTCACGCTAGGTGTGAGCCATTGGAAATTGCTTCATTTGCATCAGGTGTTGGCAATTAACAATTAACGCCTTGTTTGGATGGTCTTCATCCAATGGGCTTGTAAGGATGTTGAAGGCTTCGAGGGAGTCAGTTTCAACAATTACTCTGTTGAAGTTCGAGTTATGTGCAAGTTCCTGTCCTTTCTGTAAAATCCGGATAAATTTAAATTTTTATGAAAAAAGGGTAAAACGGTAATTTACTACTACGCTATAGGTTGAAAACCTGAACATTACCATTGGATTCGACTAGCGAAATCTAGTTATCCGGTCAATTTTCAATGAATTTTGAGACAGTTAAATTTTTAAAATTTTACGAGGTGATCAAGTGTTGCATGTCTTGAAAATGAGACATGAAATTAAATTTTAAAAATTGAAAAATAATTTCAAGGAAGTTCATATAAAAATATTTTAAACTTGAACCGGGACAAAATTTAATTATTTTGGGAAGACATTGGACCCAGGAGGACGTGTGGCGCGACAATGGCCAAGCATTCTAAGAGGTATAAATAGGGGAGAAAATTAGATTTTCTCCTCATTTTTCAGCTGGGTTTCGTTGGAGAGGGAAGAGAGGGAAAAAGAGTTTTAATTTCTCTGTACGATCTACGGCTACCCGTTGGTTGGAATCGTTCGGGCTAAGAATTAAAGTTTATCTAAGCAATGAAGATTATGATTACGTACCAAAAATTATGGATTTCACCAAAGATTAAAAAACGGGATTTTGGAAAAAGTCAAGGTTTGAGCTTGGTTTGTGTTCTTGAAGGTTTCTACAACTTGTTTTTATGTTTCAAGAGGTA